CATATATTTCTCTTGTAACTAGACTAAACCATAGAACGATATTGTACGTGCATTATGGAAATAATATTTGGCATGGTAATATTTTACTTTTCTTCACATATATTGATTATGTGTAACAAAATAGTAATGTAGATATGTAAATAGTGTGTAGTACTTTTCATTATCAAAGTTAGATACGGATCATTAATTGTGTTTATCCAGACGGATTATATGTGAGTGTAATCTTTTTGACTACCATCCACAGGATGGACATAACTGTATACATGGGGTGCATAATAACGCTAACAAACTAACCATGGTCGTTATGACATTTTACATGGTTAAAACAACATAAGTAAAAAGTAGCTTTGCAGTAAGCCTAGGCCATTCTAGACGTTCACCTGCTTCAAACTTCAGAACACTCGTGACTACACCTGATTCAGCTGTATAGCCCTTGTGGCTTAGCGCTTCTTTTTGATTATAATAATAATAATAATAATAATACACCTGATTCTTTCTTCTCCTCCTTTCCTATTTTTTCCCCTTTTCTTTGTTTTCCATTCTTCGGCCTTTTGTGTTCTGTTAGTTCCCCCTTCCCCCGGTAGGTAAGACACATAGGCAACAGTTAGGCAACTTCATTCCGAAACGTTTCGCCTACACAGTAGGCTTCTTCAGTCTTCACATCTTTACTGTTCCTGTCTACTTTCTGTACTCGGCTGAAGAAGCCTACTGTGTAGGCGAAACGTTTCGGAATAAAGTTGCCTAACTGTTGCCTATGTGTTTTACCTACCAACCTGTCGGTATTATATACCATTTTGATATTTCACCTTCCCCCCAACTTTGGTCCTACTCCTTGTTCTTGTTCTTTCCAACTTTTTTAATGTTCTTCCTTCTTGTAAATACCTCTTTCGTCCATATGAGGCTGCTCTTATTGTGGGCCCTTAGCTCTCCTGCAGTGCTCCTTTGTCTTGTCCTTACACCCCACCTCTACTTAGTTTGTTAGGTAAGACACATATGCAACAGTTAGGTATCTTTATTTCGAAACGTTTCGCCTACACAGTAGGCTTCTTCAGTCGAGTACAGCAAAGTTGATAGAAGCAGAAGAGACTTGAAGACGATGTAATCAGTCTATCACCCTTGAAGTTTTGAGGTGGTCAGTCCCTCAGTCTGGAGAAGAGTATTGTTCCATAGTCTGGAACAATATGGAGTTGAAGTGATAGAATGGAGCCTTATATAGCGCCAGGAGGTGAGACGTAGGTCACTAGTAGAGGTAAGAATGTAGACGTTGAGAGGTCAGGTCCCTCTCAAATCCAGCCATTCTCACTAGTAGAGGTTGTTGAAGTTAATTCCAAGACTGACCACCTCAAAACTTCAAGGGTGATGGACTGATTACATCGTTTTCAAGTCTCTTCTGCTTCTATCAACTTTGCTGTACTCGACTGAAGAAGCCTACTGTGTAGGCGAAACGTTTCGAAATAAAGATACCTAACTGTTGCATATGTGTCTTACCTAACAACCTGTCGGTATTTTATACCATTGTATTGTTCACTCTTAGTTTTCCTCCATTCCTCTACTATTGCTACTACCTTTACTTTTGCCTCCCTTCATCCTTTACTTTCCCCTTTCTTTTTCTCCTCTATTTTGCCACTAAACTACTCTCCCTACTTCCTATTACCACTTCTACTACTGCTTCCACTACCTACCTATCACTATCACTACTTATCGTCTCTCTCTCTCTCTTGTTCCCGTCTCTTTCCCGCTCGCCTATATACGTATACTGGCTTCAGCAAGTAATATTATTCAGGTATAGGCACACATAAATACGTGTAGTTACATAAATTATCATACATAGCATATGTGTAGATTATTTAGAAATTTGTAAATAATTCAAGTCGGACCAAAACATCGTCGTAAGCTTGTCTCTCCTATGTGCAGGTTATTTGTGTATTGTACATACATATAGTATTTGTTAAGGTGACACATCTTGACACTTATTACACTTATCTACAACTAACAAACTGTTAATCCATTTATTGTAATGTCGATGCACGTTTTAAATATAGATATATGGTTATACAGTATTTCCAGACCAGTGCTTTCCTATATTTTTATTTTTAATCTGAATTTATTGAACTTGAATTCATTGTTTCAACTTGGTATAGGTATCGTCGGCACCTTAAATACAGCCGCTTTCAGTGTGATAAAAATTATTTCGCCATATCCTCCACTTGTGCGCCTCAATCAAATCTCTGGTCATTTTTCGCCTTTCAAGTTTCTGTTTACTGCTAGGGTAACAGTGGCAACAGGTCTTTATTTTATGTTTCTGAATACTCTAAGTTCGTCTTTAAAAATTCTTCAAAACATTGTTTGCAGTGTTTGCTCACGCATCTTTTACTACAACTTATCGGTATCATATTCCAGGTTTTCACCACAGGTAATGGCGTAAACCTCGACCTTATCCTTTTTTTCTTAAGGAGCTACTGTCGCTGGCTCTAGTTGCTTCAGCAGCGAGGTTATTACCACCGAGGATAACCCAAGAAAGTGCGTCATCGAGGACCGTTTTACTTCCACTGGGATCCTTCAGTATTGTTCCCCAGGATGCGACTCACACCAGTCAAATAACACCCAGGTACCTACTTACTACTTAGGTGAACAGGGATAGCAGGTGTAAGGAAACATGCCCAACAATTCCACCCATACCGGGACTCGAACCACGGCGAGAGCGTTGCTAACCAATCTACAGGACACCACATACCGATATCTTTGATAATGGAAGATATAATGGTGGTTTCCTTGTAAAGAAGAGTAGCAGTGTTTTCAGGAGCATTAGAGGTGGGGAAAATGATGAACCTTTTAAAGAATAAAGTCACAATACCGCGGCAGGAGCAGTACACAAATAACCCACACTCTGGAAACTGAAACTTAAGATGGCGTTTATGTTAACATTCAAGCACATAATGAAGTAGTGTGTGAAAATAGGTCTGCTGACAGTTTGCATTTGGATCGATTTACATAATCTGGTAGTGCAAACTCCCAGAGGTGTATGAAACCTTGCCGATGCAGTACTAGTAAGTAAGTAAGTTTATTCAGGTATACACAAATACAGTTACATAGAATTATCATACATAGCAGCATATGTGTAGAGAACCTAGGATAACCCAAAAAAGTCAGACAAGAGTGCTGATTTTGCTGGACGCCTAATAGATATATAGCTCTTCCTATATGGAATGATAGATGGATTGACTCGTTGTCTCGAGTCCATGAAGATTAAATAGTTGGAGACAACACCCTTGTTATTGAAGGTATAGTGATGGGTTGCGTCAGGAGAGATGAGGGGGAAGGGGAACACCGGCGAGCAGCAGCCATCTGGGAAGGGTCCTGTGCTTGCCTGGGTCGCTTGTTATACTCTCCATGCCATAATGTCTCGTGTGTGCCACTTCAGTAGTTTCTCTTCAAATTTGTTTCTTTATTTGGTAGGCTGGGGCCCTGCCACAGTCCACACATTACTTCCTTTTTACAATACCAAGACAACTTTAAACGATGGTAGATTCTGTCTTGAAGAACCAAACCCAGCCCCAGCTATGCTAATGCTTGGAGACTTCAATTTAAGAAACTAAAATGGAAGAATCTAGCAGACTGTAGCAAGAGAAAGAATTAAAGCAGCTAGTTTAGATGAACAATCTCATACAATTGAACTATTAAGACTCTGCAACAGATTCGCCTTATACTAACAAACAGCAGAACCGACCAGACTAGAAAATACCTTGGACCTTATATTAACTAATGATGAAGACCTGGTTGGGAACATTATAGTGTCGAAGACAGTAAACTCAAACCACAACTTAATAGAAGTTCAGACACGCACATCCACTGGTCATAATCAGAAAAACATTCTTAACCATGAAAGTATGTTCAGTAAATTTAACTTTAACAACAAGGACATCAACTGGAAGCTAATAAATCGTGAGCCTGCTGAAATTCACTGGGAAGACAATAGGATAAACGATGACCTAAACCAGTATATCGAGAGGGTGAGATCAGTGGCACTAGGAGTATGCTCCAGTAGAGCTTCATTTAAGGAGGTTATTAGTAGAATATTCAAGAGGTTACTAGTAGAATTACAATAAATCAACCATTTAAATCATTATGAAGCTCTGTGTAGTCTGCAGTCAATCAAACAAACGGGCTTCCACATGGATAAATTGTCATTTTTGTGGAAATTGGTGTCACGCCCCTTGTGCAGATATCCAAGAACTAGCTACAAGCAGTATTAAAACAGGGAAGTGTTTTTGGGTATGCCCAAATGAGGAAAATCTGTGGACTAAAATCACAAGGGTATTAAAAGAGGATAACATCAAAGCTGCTTTCATAGACAACCTGGAAGCTTTCTACAACAGATGGGAACATAAAAAGTCTGGGCCGAATGGTACTGCCCTTGATACTGGCCATGTAGCCAGAAACTGTAAGGCTGGAGGTGATGTCCTGGTAGTCAGTAAATGTGGGGCTGATAGTGCTGTCCTGGGAGACAGTAATGGTGAAGCTGGAGGTGCTGTCCTGGTAGACAGTAATGGTGAAGCTGGAGGTGCTGTCCTGGGAGACAGTAATGGTGAAGCTGGAGGTGCTGTCCTGGGAGACAGTAATGGT